TTACTTGCCGAGAACCCGCGTCGCCGTCTCCTTCGGCTCTCGAGGCCGGCGAAAAATTCAGACGGTGCCTGTATCGGTCTCCACCGATAAAAAAGTCCAATTACCGGGTTTGTTGGCTCGCGGCTGATTTTTCTCCTTGCCGGTTTTAATCGGCGCTTGCCTAATCGCCGTTCCACTTTGATATTAATGGTTTTAGTTGAATCGAATCAACGCGTCTTAGGCAACAATCGCCGTTTAATCTATTAGCCCCGCAAACGTAAAGGTTCCAATTATGAACCGGTGATACCTTACCGATATCATTTGCTCTGCCAATCATAAACCAAGCCCGTCGAGGCGTTTGAAACGTTACTCCGTGAACGCGAAGGCCCTAAAGAGGAAGGCGATGCCCACGAATGTTCTCTTTTGAAAATTTCAATAACGGCGTTTCGTTCCTTGTCCCACGCGGATGTAGCTCCAGGTAAATACATGCGGCCGCTACGGATGCAAGTGGGAGGAAAAGTATCGATACTTTGGCGGTATCGGTTCATCCCTAATAAAGGGAAATTAAATCGGACTCGAGGGAAACGGCGTAGGGCGAACGACGAGGCTCGAGCCAAGTTTGCGAAGAAAGTCGATCGCAATCCGAATAGATGCCGATCGATAACGTCGATCTCCCGCGAGTCTCGAGCCACGTGCACGTCGCTCCGGTCGAACGAGCTCTCGGTGGGATCGGATCTATCGATCGCGGGGCCCCGGTATTGTCGTAACGCGTGCACCGATTAGCAATTGGCTTACAATTATCGCCGTTAACGTTGACTCCTCGAATCCCCGGGCCGCGTCTCGGGCTTCGCGCCTTCTTCCGTCTCCCTTTCTGGCGAACGACAAACGGTGCGCCCCGCGATGCCAGCGGAGATATCCCAATAAACCCTGCACGCCACCGAACAATTAAATTATTAACTAGGAACGATAACGAGGCACGGGAGCGCTGATTGCTATTATAACGAACGTCGCCTGCCACGCGTTCCCTCGGAAAAGAGCATAAACAAATAAGCGAGTCGCCGCTCGTACCCGGGACGGACCCATTCGAGGCTCGCCTTCGTGACCGTCGAGCTCGATGGTAAACGTCATGCGAGACTCCACCAAATTGAAATTTAATCTCGAGGCAGGAAGGCGCGAACAGTTCCCATCGATAATCCGCGACGGCCTGCCTCGCGATTTGGCGCCCTCCGAACGTCGAAGTCGAATTTTGACAATTTCAACGCCTCGGCGAACGTCTCGCGTTTCTCCGTTGTCGTACTTTTCGTCATTTCATTCGGTGTCGGCGAAGAGCCGAACGAAACTCGAAAGAAAGAGTTCGGTTCGCCGGATCGGCCCCAAAGCCAAGAAGCGTCGACCGCGCCTCGAGAGCAGTTCCTTTTCCGCTCGGCTCGGCCGGTCGAGGACGATGGCCCTGTTGCCTCGAAACTCTACACCGGCATGAACTCGATGACAGCTTAAGAGCCTTTTTTGCGAGCGCTCTTAAGGAGTTACTTTTTACTCCTGTCTCTGGGAGAATTCGAGCATTCCGCCGAAAGCGCTAATCGATTAAGTGGGCACGAGGCGGTATCGAGCCATCGTCGATGATTCGTCGAAGATTCGTCGAATCGGGCAGGAGAAGGGAATTTCGAAATAGCCCTGGTCCCCGTTAACGAGATATGGACATTCGGTAAGAAAATTCTCCTGTCGCGTTTCTTGCAAATTCGTATTCACCAACGAATCGGTGTAGAGACCGATTTAAAAAAGATTTTAGATCCCGTCGGCGATTCCTTTCTTCGGTAGCGCCCATGTCCGGATTTGAATGGAAAACCTTCCCCCGTCCCTGGGCGCTCGTTCGCCGAGTAGCTTAGATTTAAATGAACGAAATCTCGGCTCGCCCGAGTCGGAACAAAGGAAGGAGCGACGCGATTGGCTCGCGGAAACTGGAATATAGCAGCCGCGGCTTTCGGGGAGGGAATCGTTCCCTCCTCTCGAACGGTGATGGCCCTCCGGAACGGAAGCCGAAACTGCCGCGGCAATCGCGTACGGAGTTTGCGCGAAATTTTCCCCACGCGGACGAGATGGCCATTGCCGTTCAATCCAGCCCGTGAGGTAGATTTCGGGGTAGCCAACGGAAGGGTCGGATGCGCCGGCGGAGGGAGAGGGGGAGGACTCTCTCCGGAAAGAAACGGAGCGAAGGAAAAGGAGACCCGACGACGGTCCAGTGGGTAGACAAATTCCGTAATCCTCTTTGGCCGACGAGCTAAGCCCTCTATGCGATGGCATACCTTCTTCTTTTATTTCCCCCTTGGCTTGGCTTGGCTTCGAGTTTTGTTTTGCCCATCCGCCCCACTCCAGGAAATTATATTTCGAGCCAACCGGGCCGCATAAGATCGAAACCCGTGAACACCTCGAACGCGCGTTTAGGTCCGCTAACCGAAAAACGACGATCTCGCCTCGAGAAGGGAGGCGATACCTAAATTAACTTTTCCAGTTTCTCAAGCAGTTGGCCCAAGTAGTTGGCACTTGGAAAATTACGATATATCGTTGTCCGGTACTAAAAGGGTTAAACCCGACGAAGTAACCGAATAAAGTCAACTTTATCGACCCGAGAAAATCCGGGAAAATCCGGGAAAATCCGGGAAAATCCGGGAAAATCGAAACCGCTGGAAAAGCTTTTCTACATCGACGTTGCGTTTAATATTCCATTAAACGTAAGATTTATGGCTAGATTTGCCCACTCGAGTCCTTTCGTTGCATAACGATTCGGGAGGCCCCGCCGTACCGTGGTAACCGCTGTAACGTGGAAGCGACGCGAACGGTGTCGAGTTTGAGTCACCGCGAGGGAGGCGGGTTGCCAAGTTGGCACGTGTCGCGCGCGTGTCGCGCGCGTCCCGCGATCGGTCAACTCCCGGAGCCAAGATCGGCTGTGCTTCCAAATAAATCGTCGTCGATACCTTGAGCCTGCTACCGTTCGCCTTCACCCGCACCCGAGTTAACGACAAATAATTCATCGTTCGAGAATCATTTTTATACCTTTCCGGTCTTCGAAAACGGTGGATCTACCGAAAAGGAAGATACGCGGGTCGAACGTAAACGAAATCGGTAGCCGTAACGAATCGAATACCCCGAAGAAGTGGGAGAAATTTCTGGTAGATCGATCGTCCTACCGAGACTACAATTTTCTCGAGGTGACTCGATCGCTCTCGATTTCATTGTACCGTTTATTCGTAATTTAACGTATAGAGTTTCCGCATATCCTGGACTTGGAACGTTAATATCGGCTCGGTTCCAAGAAAAGTGCCGAAAATGTGTCCAACGAATTTCGGTTCGCGGTATTTGTCCATACCTGGTGGGTGGGTGTTTAAACTTCAACTCCTCGACCGTTCTGGCCGTTTCGTTTGACGTGCGAACGAAAACGCGATCCCAACGATCGCTTCGCTCCGACTCGTTCGTAAATGACGCGAGAAACGTCGCGGGGGAAAAAGTGGTCAATCGGCCGGGACATTATGCCGTTTAACCGCTACGGTTAGCAATCTCTGCCTGGGCGAAAGCAATTATTGCGGAGATCGGGCCGAACGCGATAGAGGTGAGAGAGAGAGTCGGTGCTCGATCACGCTCGGAACCGTCGCTAACAGGTTCGGAACTATCATGCGCGACTAGACTTCCGCCCTCTATGTTATTACTCTCCCTCGAACAGAAGTCGAGGGTGGAAGGGAGCGGGGCGGACGGGGACGCGGGAGGTGCAGGCAACGCTCGAGCCATTATTGATTGTTGTTGATAATTAGCCGGCACAGACGCGTCAATCACCAGCCAAGGCAAGGTTATTAGGCCGTTGGTTAGCCAGCGAAGCTTTAGACTCGACTACAGAGTCGGCTATCGAGCTACCCGATTACTTCCCACAATTCGATCTAATGCGCTGCTCCGCGATGCGAGAAGGTTAATTATGCAGTTAATGAGAGACCCAGAGTATCCGCGCGGTGTCGGAGGTAATGCACGAAGAGTGTCCGGGGACGAGGAATTTTGGCCGAGCGGACCGTCAAAGGGCCTCGTCCGATCGCTCGGTGGCTTCCCATCGACCTCGCCATCGACCTCGCCCATCGACCTCGCCCATCGACCTCGCCCGTCGACCTCGCCCGTCCTTCTCCGATCGTTATCGAACGACCGAGGAAGCTCTTCGGCCGCGACTCGTCGATCTGGTAACCGGACTTCCCTACCCCGGGAAACCCACGCGCTTCCGTTGGATCCGTTTATGCTTTTCGTTTCCCTTCCGGTTTGCCGAATTAAGCTATCTTCTTAGCGTTAGACGCTTACTCTAGTCCAATCGACGATTTCAATTTCGATAATACAATCGCTGGGGGCAACTTCTTTCGGACCTCGATACTAACGATCGTTCGTTATGGAGCGAATAAATTGTCGTTGGTAATAATTCAGCACTCGAGGGACGCTAGTAATCGACCCTTTGCGGTCGTAGTGCATCTGGTCGTGCGTATATTTCGTCGGGCTCGGTCCGGTTTACGACCGCAAAGGGTTAAATGTCGTTCGTAACCATTATTATCGCGAGTCGGAAGTAACGCTTAATGGCCCGAAATCGTATTTATTCCCTCGAGGGCGACACCGACCGCGGCCGATTAACGTATCGTCGGCAAAGGTAGAACTCGTCGTTAGGGGCTGCGACCGATAGAGGGAGATTGAACTTAAAATCGTGACGAATAAACTCGAATAAATTGAATGCCACGTTTATTTGGAATTATGACAATTTATTCCAGAGATATAATTATTCTTGGAATTGACAAAAGATTTCAATGGGACCGTTCAAAGAAATATTTGCTAGGTTCAATGAGATTTTTTCTCAGGGTGGCGTCGCGCCCCGGCGAGCACGCAGGGGAGGGGGTATTTATTTGGATGATTGTTGCAAAACTGCCGAGTTTCCCGATCTTGTCCTTCGAAGTTGCGTGCGACGAGAATCGGTAGGAGATGAGAAACCGTTCGGTCCTTGGTTCCAGGTGATAATAGCTGCAATTCCACGGGCGGTGGAAGCGACGAGGAGGTCCTCACTGGATGTGGGTCGGACGATGCGAACGCTGGCAGCAGCAGCAAGAAGAAGCATCGCCGCAATAGAACGACTTTCACGACGTATCAGCTGCACGAGCTGGAAAGAGCTTTCGAGAAATCCCATTACCCCGACGTCTACGCCAGGGAAGAACTAGCCATGAAAGTGAATCTACCCGAAGTACGGGTCCAGGTAAGCTCGCTTCGGTTTTTACCATTTTCATTTTCAGCGTATCGCGTACGCTAGGAAAACGGTCGGTGAAAGGCTGAGCGTGCGGGATATTATCGAGGGCATCGTTACAACGAGGTAAAAGAAAGTAACGTAAACTTTCTTCTGACTTTTAATCGCCAAATAAAGTTTTGCTTCCAAATTCGGTACTTTCCAAATGTTGTACCCTTTATGGAGCAAAAGCGATATTCGATACGGCGAGAATAAACTACGTTCAAGTGCCTTTTGCCCGAAGGCGGGTAACGTACGGTACGCGTGCATTGCATTTTACAGTCCTTCGCGAGGTTGCGAGATATACGTCGTTCTTCAAGGAATCGGGTTTCGATAAAGAGAACTTCGATCGGGCACTTGCTCGGATTTTTCCGCACGGGTTTAGTTATCGTTTGAATCGCCAAGGTACGTGCATTTGCGGACAATTAATTAAAATTTAATTTATTTATTCACGACCAAGTCGTTTAACGAAGACACCGCTGTAATCGTTACCGCAGTGGGAGTAAAAGTTTATCGGCAACGTCGTCCTTTGCTAAGAGGGTAAATGTTTTTTTCTCCGAGTACAGGGGAGTTGACGAGTTGGTGGTCGTAAACTTTCGGAAACGAAATTCTAGTCCTAGTAGGAGCTTAATGCTCGTGCTTCCATGCAACTAATCGGCATGGCGATCGCTAACTGACGCTGGGCGACGTATTAAACTAAATTAAATTAATTATGTGCGTGGCAACGATAAAACAAGCCGGTCGCATGCGACGAAGCATCGATTAGGCTTACCAACCACCCTTCCTCCCGGCAACCCGCCGACTATGACTAAAGTGCACCTACCCTTTGCAATTACTCTACTCAACGGTTTATATTGCCGTTTCGACGCCCACCTAAGACGACCCGAATCCACTCGGCTTCGTCGTACGATAACGCCCTAAAAGTGGGTTTATCTTGTAATCTCGGGACCTCGAAGAAATTCTAGAAAGGGCTCCGATATCCGTATTAATTAAAATGCGCCGAGGCAAACGTAGCGCGATCGACGCGAACGTAGAGTCGCCAGTTAAAAGATATTTTCAAGTATCCAGGCGTGTATTGCATTTACTGCCTCCAAATTAACGGAACGTTAAATGGTAGAAGCTGACTTCGTCGCCCCAGGGGGTAATTGAAAATGAACTTACGTAAATCGTTGAACTGGAACGATTTTATCATGTAGGGTGCTTATCGATTCTCTGGACAGGCCAAAGTAGGTTATAAAATATTATCCCTCTTCGAGTCGCGAAAATTAGGATTCGATTCTTTTGCGACTTGCCTTGTTTATTCCTTTGCTAGAGAAATTCTCTTGCCTCCGACAAAATTCATTTTGTACGAACCGTCATCGTTCGGAGCCAACTGGAAAATCGGCATCAATTGGAAATGATGTCGCGTCATCGTTTCAATTGGTTTCAATTATTGAAGATATTACTCTTGTCGTACCGTTCTTTGTCTAAGACGATGTTTTCAATTCGAACGGTTTACCGCGTGTTATCAAAAATGCTCGATGTCGAATAAATATTGACCGAAGTCGACGCAAGAGCGAGTTCGCCGATACTCTCTCTTGCCAAGGCCTCGGAGGCTTTCGCAGTAGCGAGTCGACTCGGTTGAAATCGTAATTAAAAATTTAAATTGCGTTTAAAACCTGCCACGCTTAGCTTTCCACGGACTTTTTCCAATTTTCTCCTGGCACTGACCGATGGAGAGGAGGAGTCGCGCGCTCGTTTATTTTCTCCGTACGGTGGGTACGCGTAATACCTTAAGCTTATTACACGGGATAGACATGGCGGAAAGGGAAAAAAAAGACTCGGGGGAGGAGAAAACAGCGAGTCAAAGAGGAAGGGAGAAAGCTGCACAATCGACGCGGACCGGCTGGATCCTCTTCACGCGATCGCGTATACATTTAATCGTCGATACATAGCGGAGTTCTTAATCGTCTATCTCGAAGTCGCTCATTCGTCCCCGGTCCATCAAAGACGGAGAGTCGATCGAGAGTCGCAAGACCTTCGAGAGTATCGAGATGGGCGAAAAGTGGCGCATCGCGTCCGGGGTCTTAAATGAAATTTAAACGATAGTCCGCAGTCGTCGAACGATACGAGAAGACTAGGGCGAACCCGAAGAGCGAACCAAGAAATATTTTGTTAATTCGACACAAATAAATTGTCATAATTCCGAATAGACGCGGCATCCAATTTTTTGCGTTTATTTGAGTAAAATAATTATTATTTGAATGAAAGAAATATATTTCTTTGGGACTATCCGAAGAAATATTTCTTTGGTTCAATGATCATTTTCCCTCGGGGTAAATAAAAGGGCGGAGACGGCGATTGCGCGGCTGCGCCTGGTTTTATCATTTTTAATTGATCACACCCTCCTATCCCGTTCGTCGGATTTATTGGCTCCCGGAAGAGTGGCGAAGGGTGGGAGTCGTATCGGCAGGCCGGCCAATCGGCCGTCTCGGGGACGGAACTCCGATGGTCGGTCGCGCATCGAAGAGCGCCGCCTCGGACGATGCGATCGACGTTTCCACCTCGCACCCGCCAAGATCGACGGGGCTGGCCGGTGTCCGTCGATACCCCGCAAAACGGGACCCCCGGACTCGGTCCCGCGATTCGTCCGCAGTGGCGCCGCGTGCCTTCGATTCGGAGCGAGCGGGAATCGACTTTCCAGTCGGGACGGAGTCGACCGGGATAGAGCGAAAAAATTCATTTTATTTCGAAGAAAAAAAATGATCAATCCCTCCCTCTTTTAACTTGGAAAAATCGCGTTCTGTATGTCTTTTCGCGTTTCTTAATACTTTCATTTTAACGTGCTTCGTATCTTCCTCGTTATCGTAATTTTTGAGATTCTTCTCGAGGTTGCTTTCTTTGCGTCGCGTCCTCGTTTCCCATTCGACGGCGATCGACGACCGTCCGTTATGGGCGTCGAAGGACTTTGCGGCGAAATAAAATGAAGTACGATTTCCTTTCTGGTTTACGAGAACGACGCGCGGCTCGCTCGTCGTGATCCATGACACCGCCATTGGCCCATTCCGGGGAATGGATATTACCGACCCGCGCGACGTCCTCGTCACGCGATCGCAACGGACCCTCGTTCGCGTATACGGAAGGCCGATTCAGCGATTTGCCCGTCAGTTTCTCCTTTCGTTTCCACCTAGCATGGTTACGTCGAGTCTAGCCCTTGCCAAAATTCATCCACTTGTATATCTTTCTTGTGCCAGCCGTGTACCTCGCGCGATTCGGCCGGACGTCTTTGAATTTTTTAGACGGCACCGGTACTTCCGTTCTTATCAAATTTATTCGATCGGTGGCTTATCGTTGGCCAAGCACCCACTGGGAGCACTCGGGGTGTTTTAACGGTAGATAATGCGAAGCAAGGCGAGAGAACGGAAAATTGTAAAGGCCGGTGAAACCGATGGCAAACGCGTCGATATATTGAGAAACGTTGCAAAATTGAGAAATCAAGAAATCTCGGAATACGTGGGACGTATCATTTTACTTACTTATCGTGTTTATTTTATTTTTTTTTTATGAATTTACGAATCAAGGAATAATAGATTTAAATTGTAAGCCCGTTGAACATTTTTCCCTCGCGACACGGCAACTCTGCCGATGGTACGGTGACCCCCGGGGACGACCCGACGTTTATTTTTCGGGGGAATAAAAAACCTCTTGGACTATTTTTGGGTGGAATGCTGCGCTAAAATCGACATCGGCGAATCTAACAGCGAGCGGAAAAAAAGTTGATTGATTTTTCGCGGTAGCCCGGCTAATTTGAATCGAGAGATGGATTGCCCCTGTTCCATCGCTATTCCCTTCCCTTGGAATCTCGACGTTCTCGTATCGTACTTCCAACTCGCAGACAATTGCCAATTGGAAAAGACTCCAATTCGATTATCCGTTTCCTTTTTCATTTTAATTTCACCATCTCCCGAGTGCCGCTAACTGCGGAGGAAATCAACGCGGCTGGCAAGGAAATCGACTGATTTTTTTTCACGTCTATTTTAAACGTTGGTTATACGTCGGTATAACGTTGATTAACTCTTGCACGTACCTTTGCGTTCGGTTAACGAATCCGTCAATTTTCTGTATTCTTCGTATGAGGGAACTGCACGTTTCGTTCACGTAAACGTAGGGAAAATATAGTGTAGGTGGAAACGACAAGTGTCGCGGCCAATTTATTCGACTTTATTTGTGTCACATAATTACTCTTTAGACTAACAAAATAGTTCTTCGGTACAAATATCTTTCATGGCTGATACGTAAGCTTAATGATTAAACGGTATTTGAGCGATCCTGACTGCACTTACCTGCAATTAAGAAGGGGAGGTAGAGGTCTGCCTTGCACGTGTTTACATCGAAATCGATCGCTTCTTGGCATACCTCTCGCTGACTCGAGCGTACACCTTTTAAGTGGATACAAAGTATACGGTAATACTTAAAAACGATCGTCTCCGGTGTTTTCGGACGTATACCCGAAACACAGTCATATAATTGGTTCGTTCTCAAGATCGCGGTTGGTTACAATTGTACCCGATCTTTGGTGCAGGACTCGCGTGCTAAAAAATCGAAGTCCGTGCTCCTTCGGGGCGAGCGGGTGAACGCGATTGCGGTGGAAATTAGCCTAAACAGCGTAGTTAAAGAGCGGCCGACACCCTCTGACATTATTTACGCGAGGTTGCCAGGGCGATGCGGCCCAATCGAAACGACGCAGCACCGCACCGGCCGGAAGGACCTTTCCACTGTAGCCGAGAAGGACGGGACATCCGGTTGGCCGCGCGCCGGATCGATCGGAATTGAAACTTACCTGTCGGCCCGGCGCGTTTGCCGAAGCGTTTAATTCAGTTTTATTGAAGTTAAATCATGATCCCGTCGACGGGGGCCGGCACAAATTACGGATGACTGTCGGGAGCGCGTGCATGGGGTGTCGAATTGGTCACGCATACCGCCGGGTTCCTAAT